CGGAGCGGCGCAGAAGTCAGCCGAAAACCACGGCGGGAAGGGAAGGGGGCGGTGTGGTGACATACATTGCCAGTGGGTGGGGCCTGGCCATGTACGGCACTGCCCCAGCCCCCTTTGCCTCCCACTGTGGTGCTCGGCTGACTTCTGCACCTCTCAAACGGGCCGCTGTGGGGGAGCCCAAATGGCCGCTTGCTCTGCTTGCTCCCCTGTGGTGGCCCGGCTGAGCGCCGCAGAAGTCAGCCGAGCGCCACAGTGGGAGGCAAAGGGGGGAGGGGCGGGGCTGTGACGTGCGGCGTGACAGAGGCTCCAGGTCCCGCCCCTGGCTGTGAACATCACTGCTCCGCCCCCCTTCGCCTCCTGCAGTGGCGCTCGGCTGACTTCTGTGACGCTCAACCGAGCAGCCATGGAGAGCCCAAATGGCCCAAGCAACCGTTTGAGCTCTGCGGTCCCCCGAGTGAGAGGCAGGAGGGAGTGGAGAAGAGAAAGAGAGAGACAGACAGACAGACAGAGCGAGAGACAGAGGCTCAGGAGAGAAGACCGATGTGGAGGAGAGACCTGAAAATCCCGTCTTATGACAGGCTAATTAGCTGGTAAAGAAAGAACAAGTTAAAAATTACTTAGACCAATTAGATGTCTTCAAGTCACAAGGGCCTATTGAAATGCATTGTAGGGTAGTCAAGGAGCTGACGGAGGAGATATCTGAGCCATTAGCAATTTTCTTTGAAAAGTCATGGGAGACGAAAGAGATTCCAGAAGACTGGAAAAGGGCAAATATAGAACAATCAATAAAAGAAAGAAGTTTAACTTGCAGCATTACAGACAAATCATCTTAACTCCTGTAACCTGGAAACATAATGGAGCAAACAATTAAGCAATTCATTTGCAAGCATATAAACAATAACAAGGCGATAAGAAATAGTCAGCATGGATTTGTCAAGAACAAGTCATGTCAAACCAGCTTGATAGCTTTCTTTGACAGGATAACAAGCCTTGTGGATGGGGGACGGAGGAGTGGAGCAGTAGACATGGTATATGCTGACTTTAGTCAGGGTTGCTGGCAGAATTTGTGGGCCTCTGAACAAGGTGGGAAGGCAGTTCTGTGCTCCCAGAAGGTGCGAGGCCTCAGGCAGAAGGGGCAAGGCGAGGGTGCCAGCCCTCCATGCCACCAGGCGCATGCCCAACCCCCGCCCTCAGTGATGCCCACAGTATACGGTATGGTATCGAGGCAACGATTAAAAGGGCTTGGGGCTTCAGCTGCCACAATAGCAAGAGTGATGGCTGGGAACCCCAGTGCCCTTTGAATTGCTGGGCCCCATGCCCCTTTGAATTGCTTCCCTGTTGGCGGGCCTGACTTTAGTAAAGATTTTGATACCGTCTTGCATAAACTAAACATACAAGAGAAATGTAACCTAAATGAAGCTACTAATAGTGGATGCAAAACTAGTTGGACAACCATTCCATGAGAGTAGAGATGGGTGGTTCACAGCCATATTGGAAGGCCATAATGAGAGTGGTCCCACAGCAATCTGTTCTGGGTTTGGTTCGCTTCAATATCTTCATCAATTATTCAGGTAATGACAGAGCATATGTCAGCAACCTACACACTGCACCCCACCAGAGTAATCTGCTCCTAGGTTGCAAGGCACTGTTTATATTGACTGCCAGCAGGCATGCCCTCACCAAGCTCCCAATATCTGCAGTTCTGTGTTCCCAGCCAATGAAAACTGTGGAAAGTGGTGTGGGCTGGTTGCTACTTCCCACAGCTTCCATTGGCCAGGAATGGTGAACTGTGCCCTATAGATTCATGTACAGGCAGTCCCCGGGTTACATGGATCCCTACTTACAAACGGGGTGAGGCAATCCCGCACTAGCTGCTTTCCCCCAGCAGACCAGGGAGACGCGAAGCTAGCACCCCCTCCAGCAGACCAGGGAGACGCGGAGTGGCTTCTCTCAGCAGACACCTCAGCTTGAGAATAAAGGACTGAGGGAAGTGAGGTGTGGGAGAATAAAACTGAGCTCTGGAGAAATGTTTGGCTAGAGTTTCCCCTACAATATGTACCAGTTCCGACTTACATACAAATTCAACTTAAGAACAAACCTACAGTCCCTATCTTGTACGTAACCCGGGGACTGCCTGTACTCTATTTAAAAATCACTTCCTCTTTCACTTCACAGTGCTTTTGATGTCATAATGCTATAAGTTTTGCAACCATCCACAGAGTCTTCCAGGAAAAATATTAGATCGTAACTTCCAATATCATCTCAACAGAAAAAAAAACTTTAAAAAATAGCAAATATCCTTTCAGAGGTTCTTTACACATAAAGATGCAATGTCAAGTATAAAAATCCTGTTTTATTTTTTCCATTGCAGGCAACCTTCAAACTAAATCTCTACACTTCTGGGCAGGAGATTGTGAAGAATCTATTCCTCTGGGCAGGTTCTAATCTTATGAATATGATCCCTTCTGTTTAACTTGGATGCAAATTCATCTGCAGCAACTTGAACACATCCTGAGACATGCAGAATTTTGTTAGATTGCCTCTACAATGAGAGTACCAGATCCAAAGCTGTCAAGTGTCATACAATGATTGTCAGAGAGATTCACATGGCATGCCATAAGGGACAGAAGAACAGCACTCCTATTGGATTTTTGGAGCTGGTCTCAGTTAATAGGACTTGCCTTGTGCCCAGACAGGGGAGAAAGCTCAAGTCTTAAAAAAATAAGCCCTGGAAGTCACAATTTCAACCACAATGATAGTTGTAACAAACTTTTTTTTATTGCATACATGAAAGATGCTAAATACACCACATGCTCATTCAAAATTTGATGGGATAAATCAAATGATATGTAACATCCTCCAGAACTACTTTTGTATCCCCCCTTTAAGACTTCATAACTACAACTAAGTAGATTGACGTCACTCAATGATACATATTGAATGCCATGTAATATGGCCTCTACCCCTGGAACCACTTTGAAAATTCTCCCCATTTCAAGTCTCTGGAGTTTTTCTATGTGGCCTTTCCCCACTCTTTTGCAATTTTTTTTAACCTAATGGTGTATGCAGCTTTGACATAAAATAAAATAGTAAATACTGGTACCCAACCAGAAATCAAAAGGATTGTTTCCAAGTAGTCATGGAAGAAACCATCTAAAATACCAAATTTATCTTTGAATATCAAGTTTGGTTTTCTTGCAAGCAACAGAAAAATAGGACAAAATCCCTGTGTACTTTGTCGCTTATAGCTGCTTCACCCACAGAAACAAATATCAATTATTCATTCATGTCCAGTCAGACTGACTAGCTGTACAAGCCATTGGCCAGAGCTTCCATGGAGGGACCAGTTATGCATCCAGTAAGGCAGCGACACCATCTCCTCACAGAGCCTCCTCTACCTCTTCTGTTCCTAGACCCAGCCCAGGTGTGTCTGGGTGTGTCTAGACTACAGGGTTTTGTCGACAAAAGTGGACTTTTGTCGACAAAACTATACCTGCTTCTACACTGCCGCATAATGTCGACAGAACTCAGCAGTTTTGTCGACGGCTGTAAACCTCATTTTACGAGGAATAACGCCTTTTGTCGACAAAGCTCTGTTGACAGAAGGCGTAATTGCATCTACACTGTCCTGTAGCGGCTTGCTTTGTCGACAGAATTGGATGTAGTCTAGATGCTCTTTGTTGACAGAAGCTTTGTTGACAGTATCTGTCGACAAAACTTCTGTCGACAAAAGCCTGTAGTCTAGATGTACCCTCTGTGTCCTTCTGGAATAGTTCTTCCCCCCTGTGCACCTGCTTTTGTTGTACTCCTGTCATGAGGAAAGACAAAGGCAAACTGGGACACCACACTGCACCAGACTATTCTGGCTCCCCCCCTCCAAAAAAAAAGTGCCAGAATGCAATTTCAGAATGTTCCTGTAGAACTATGACATTTGATATGCAGGACGTCAGATTAGAAGATCATTATTGTTTTTTCTGGCTTTAAAGTCCATGTTTTCATGAGATTTGAGTTCTGGCAGGAGATCAACACAAATTTCTGTAGGCTAATTTTATAAAAAACTGACATTGTCCTTTAGCAATGATCTAACCCCCCTGACAGTGCCTTCCCTTGGTTAAAGAGGAGGAGATATTAGAGAGGAAAGGAATAATAAAGTTAAGCATGCTTGCTGACAAACCTTATCAGAGCAAAGAGAAACATTATGATTGCACTTGTCTTGGTCTAGTGCCTGTGTATTGTATATAAGTGTTCCTATCTGGTAGGCACAGTTGGCACCTGGAGCATATTTTTTTTCTCATTGAGATAGTTTTCCAACCTAATTTGTGTTATAGGATGTTTTTTCTCCAGTTCTTTCCCTCTGTATTACAAGTTCCCTTTGTTTTGAGATAAAAGGTTTAATTAATCATATTCCAGCAGCCTTTGTTGAAGCTCAGTTTAATTTGAGAGATCCTGCTTCCCCCACCACTAAGGCTACTTTTAGATGAATGAATAATGAGCTGTGAACACAATATATATTGTTTATGACAAGACTAAATGCTTGTGCAAAATTATCTGAAAGTTTTAGCGTATCTTCTGTCTAACATTTTATGTTTGGTTAAAGCTGTCAGAGCAACATTCTGGCTAAATGCTGTGGAAGGTCATTCAGTAATTGAATAGATGGAGCAGTCAACATGCCCCATTGCCATGGAAGGTTAGAGCACTGAGCATTTTAGTCCAGTGAAGATTAGCAAAACCTATGGTTGTTTAGCATAGCAGTGTCAGTCTTTAGAGTCCCCATTATAAAGAAAAGTATGAGATATTGGCTAACTTTTCTATATAGAAATTTGTTTTTAGCTTCCTTCATGCACACTCACTTTTATCAGGTTTTGGTTAAAATAAAAAGTTGAACAGTTACTTTTGAAAATCTGTCATGTTTTTTCAACTTATAAAATATTTTCCACAATGTTGAAGAGAGTCAAGAATAATTTGGGGTGCAGTGTTGGAGGCATCAGGAGGATGAGAGGCAGAGATGTATTGCTTGGCTTTCTGTGTTGAAGACAGAATGAAATCTTCTTAGAGCACTTTGCTAGGTTGCCAGTTTATGAGGCTTTTCTGACAAGAAGTCTGCAGTCTGAGAGTCAGTTCTGAGAATGAGGGATCTGAAAGCATCTGAGAAATCTTGGCTTCTTTGCCCTTTTAAAAATTATAATTCAATCTGCAGAGGGGCAGCACTGTGACGGAACCACCTCATGTTTTACAAAATGGATTTACGGACACAAATATGAATAACTCAAAGATATTTGGGACAAATTGCCTCATGTAACCTATCGATCTTAATGTCATCATCTGCTTGGTTTGTATATCTTATTTTGGCATACGTATAATTCTTGTGTGTAAAATTAGACATATTGAGTATGGAATGCTTTATGGTTCCAAATGTGCAAATGAGAGCCACCAAGGTTGTTTCCAATGCTGGGACACCTCAATGTCTGGGTAATCACCTGTAAACAGTTTGATTGTAAAGTCTTAGCAGTGGCTGGTTTAAGGAAGTCACATATCCATCACAACTGGTAGGGGTGGACCAAGTAATTGTCCATGGAAAGGTGGTATCTATAAAACAGTAGGGGTACATCTAGACTACAGGCTTTTGTTGACAGAGGCTTTGTCGACAGATACTGTCAACAAAGCTTCGGTGGACAAAGAGGCTACGTCTAGACTGGCCCCTTCTCCGGAAGAGGCATGCTAATTTCTCACTTTGGAATAGGGAAATCCGCGGGGGATTTAAATAAACATGTCCGCCGCTTTTTTTCCGGCTTGGGGAAAAGCCGGAAAAAAGCGTCTAGACTGGCGCGATCCTCCGGAATAAAGCCCTTTTCTGGAGGATCTCTTATTCCTTATTCCTTCAGGTAGGAATAAGAGATCTTCCGGAAAAGGGCTTTATTCCGGAGGATCGCGCCAGTCTAGACGCTTTTTTCCGGCTTTTCCCCAAGCCGGAAAAAAAGCGGCGGACATGTTTATTTAAATCCCCCGCGGATTTCCCTATTCCAAAGTGAGAAATTAGCATGCCTCTTCCGGAGAAGGGGCCAGTCTAGACGTAGCCTCTTTGTCCACCGAAGCTTTGTTGACAGTATCTGTCGACAAAGCCTCTGTCAACAAAAGCCTGTAGTCTAGATGTACCCCTACTGTTTTATAGATACCACCTTTCCATGGACAATTACTTGGTCCACCCCTACCAGTTGTGATCTTTTAGACGCAGGGTTGTAGTACACTTTTGTCGACAAAACCCTGTAGTGTAGACATACCCTAGGAAGCTAGGCGTTTTTGTCTTTATCTGGTGTGGTACACTCAGGAGGATACCTAAAGGCTCCAGGGAAAAGGAGATTTCCCTGGTTTTGGAGGCTTAGATGGATTAAAATCAATTTTAGGGTGAGTTTGTAATAAGTTTGTACTGAGGTTTTAGTTTTAGAATTAGCTAAGCATTTTCTGTTTTAAATTGGTAACCTACTTTGCTCTGCCAGTTCATAACCACTTAAATCCTACTGCTTGTATTTAATAAAATCACTTTTATTTACTATCAAACCCAGTGTAAGTTACCTGGGAGAGCAATCAGTGTGTACATTCACCTTTCATTGTTAAAGGGGGCTTACCTAAAGAATTCATTTGGGGAGTGGTATCCCAAGAAGCTGGGCCCAAAACTCCATTTTCCTTGGATCTGAAGGGTGTGTCGAGACTACATGGCTCCGTCGATGGAGCCATTTAAAGTAGTTTACTTGACATAGTCAATGAAGCAGGGATTTAAATAATCCCTGCTTCATTACAATAAAAATGGCCGCCATGTGGTGCCGACAATCAGCTGATCTGGCACAGCGTGGCAGTCTAGACGTGGCGCGGTCAATAAGGGAAACCTTTGTCAACGTCTCCTGTAAGCCTCGTGAAACGTGAAACAAGGCTTACAGGAGCAGTCAACAAAGGCGACCCTTGTCGACCACTCCGCGTCTAGACTGCTGCGCTGTGCTGGATCAGCTGATTGTCGGCACAGCACGGTGGCCATTTTTATTTTAATGAAGGAGGGATTATGTAAATCCCTGCTCTTTGACTATCTCGAGTAAACTACTTTACATGGCTCCATCGATGGAGTCATGTAGTTTAATACACCCCGAAGAGTTTCAGTGAAGAGACAGTGATCTCAGCTCTGTGCCTTGGCTGGGGGAGACCAGGGAGCTGGCTCATCAGGACAGGGTAGTGAGAAACCTCAGAGAGTAGGAAGGTGAGTGGCAGAGGTCTTGTCAGCACTCCAGGAAGCATGCCCAAGGGGTCTTCTGTGACTGCACCCTGTCATAGCACTTTTAGGCTATGTCTACACTGCAACACTGTTTCGGGATCTTGGAGTATCCAAAAATAGCTATTCCGCATACATGTTACGTATAATTTCTTACCCTAAAAGTAGTTCTAATCATCTTTTTTCACAAGGTAGGCAGCCTCTTAGCTTGGGTTACATTTTTCACCCTCTTCAGTCTTAGATGTTTCCAGCAGTCATCTTAGGTGGTAACTAGGGGTGTCAGGGCATCTGGCAGTAACCCCCATTGTTTGGTTTCATGCCTTTATGTAGATTTTGCTCAGGGTGGGAATAATTGTTTTCAGTTCAAACTTTTCTCACCTTGCCCTGGTCTACACTAGGGAGTTATTTCAAAATAACTCCTCTTATTTCGAAATAATAAGTGGAGTGTCCACACTACCAAGACTGTTATTTCAAAATAAGGGACTGGTTATTTCAAAATCTGTACTCCTGATTTCCACGAGGAATAAGGCTCATTTTGAAATAGTTATTTCAAAATAGCAGTAGTGTGGACACTCCCCTGCTGCTATTTTGAAATAACTACTCCCCAGAGTCATTCAAAGTAATTACTCCCCAGCGCTTCCTGAGGCTCTATGTCAAAGTAGCATATCCACATTCTGTCTACATCTACACTGCAGCGCTATTTCGGGATACCAAAGGTATCCCAAAATAGCTAATGCAGAAGACAAAATAATGAAAAGACCATTGGTTTTGTGGTTTGGTGAAGCAGCATAACTGCCTTAAAATGCATGTTCCAGCTGACAATAATTATGGAAATAGGAACACATGCAAGTACAGTTTATATTTGATAGTTCTGTAGTATCAGGATCAGTTCTTCCAACTAAGAGTCTAAGATAGAAGCAACAACATATCTTCAGATCTATGTCCCAAGTGTTCCACACATGGAAAGGTTGAAAATTTGAAAGCTACCCAAGGGATTTGGTCATCTAATTCCTATTACAATTAATATAAACCAGGTATCTAAACCTCCTTGGTGACTTTGAATCTCTTAACCAAAATGTTCTTCTCTTAAGTCTATGCTGAAGTAAAATCAAGATGGGATAGTAAGGCCTAGTGCAGGGCTACTCAACACGTGGGCCGCAGGCCGCATGAGGCCCCCGGCCTGTTTGTTTGCAGCACATGGTGCAGTTTGGGTTTATGCGGGGCTCAACATGCTCCACAATA